CTTCCTTGCTTCCTTCCTTGCTTCCTTCCTTGCTTGTTTTCTTGCCTTCTTCCTTCCTTGCTTGCTTCCTTCCTGGCTCCCTTCCTGATGAAACAAGGGCTAAGGGGAGGGGTGTGGATTTTGATCGCATTTAGGTGAAACAAAATGCACGTCTGATCTTTTGTTTTCTTTTACTTAGAATATACCCAAGCAGTCACATACCCAGTGAACAGCAAACACCTACTAGCACTACCCCTACTTCGCTACCATTAGTGGACTGCAAACAGTTTAATGCACTTAGACAGGACCTGCTTGTACAATCGATGTCGGCTCCCACTTCACCGCAGTCGCCAAGGAAACTACTTCCACTGAAAATCAACCACGAATTAGAGGAGCTCCATCATCGGTAAGATAAACGACACAGGAATCCCATGTATATTAATTATTCATTGGCTCATATTATTTTGATAATCAAAACTTAGTATATATTGGAAACCGAATATTACCAATCAAATAGCCGAAGCACAGCTTGAGCACGCCGTGGACATGGTCACGCCAAGGTCACGGCACTGCCAGGACCAATCGCATTGCGAGAGAAAAAAATCGGCTCCAATCAGTTCGAATTCCCAGGAGATTGGAATTCTTTTGCTTTGCCTCCCAGATCGAGCTGCTTTGACGTCACATGCAAGGGGTCTAATGATGGTTTTCACAGCCGCCATGTTGGATGAATTTAACAAAAGATTCTTCATTAGTCTATTTTGTTATATCATCCAACATGGCCGCCTTGTCTTTTGTTATTTCACTCTCTTGGGAATGGTTGCAAACCAGCAATAGAGTGCATACCAAATATCCGTGAAAAAGTTAACTAACAAAATTGTACAAATTAGTGCAAAGTCTTGTAGGTCTACGGTCTACTGAGCTGTCTACTGAACTTACTAATTCGTGCAACTGAATTTCTTACAACGTTTTTCACTGATGTATGGTATGCACTCTACTAATTGGCATTAATAACTGAAATATGTATTGCATTGGTATTTAGATTCCTTTCTACACGAGCGCGAGCACAATCTCTCAACTATCGACGTGGAAGTCTGCCTGTAGATCTTGGGAAGGACAACAAAAACAAATACGAGAATTGGCGGGAAAACCTCGATACCAGACAGAAACATGGTATTCCCTTTGAAGTCTGGTTGAGAGAAAAGGGAGAACAGACTGCAAGAAAACGCGAATTTGAATCAGCGGCGATAAAAGCAGTCGAGAAACTTGCTGACCAAACATGGTCAGAAATTCGGTCGCAAGGGAAGACGTATGAACAATGGCTGAAAGAGAAAGACCAAATGAAGATCCATAATAAGGACTGCAAAGGTGAATGTATTGATCATGGTAGTCACGGTGAATGTCATAAAAGGGCTTTGAAGTACGAAGAATGGCTGAAGAAAAAAGATGAGGAAGACTTAAGAAGAGAAGAGGTAATGAGACAAGAAGCTGAAAGACATTTTGAAGAAAACAGAAGAAAGAGAGAATTAGAAAATGAACGAAAGATTGCCAGACTAATCAAACAGGACAAGTAGTACAACAAATATATCGCACAAAGTACCGTAATTTCGCATCTCTTTTTAAAAAGTTTAATTTTAAAAAATTTGAAGCACTACGTGAAGTCGCCATACGACTACGACATATAATACGACTATTATATGACAAGAAGTTCTAAAAATGTTAATATTTGAATCTAGTAAAAATAGGATCAGTCAACCCAATTATGTTATGGGACTGCATTTTAAAATGTTACGTCAATGTACTTACTATAAAATTTGTAAAAATAAGTAACCATTTAATGGTTTTTATATAGACTACCAATGTGTCATCATCCTCATTCATCATCATCATTAACATCATCATCATCATCATAATCGTCGTCGTCGTCATCATCATAATCATCATAATCATCATCACCACCACAACCACAACTATCATCATTATCATCATCATAAACACATCAAAATCAACATAAAAAAATAATTACTATGATTATTACTCTTATTAAATTTTCTAGTCGTTATGGCAACTGTTTACCATCAACCTTAACATTACTTTCGTATTCCATGCTTCCTAATTGTTTTTCACTATGTGTACGGGATACATCTTGTCAGCAATATTAATTTCAAGGCGATTTTCCTCAACTGCCTCTCCTTTGCTTTCAATAAATCCTAGACAAACTGGATGACCGAGCTTGAAATCAAAAGCTGTTGACGTCACATGACCAATGACGTCACCGTCATAAACGACTGTCTCTCCTCCCCACGGGATACAGTCGTCGTCATGTTTTTTGACCACCATATGTACAAGCTTTTTACTGGAGGAGGAGGACTTGTCCTTCAGGTCTAGTAATGCATTCTTTCCTATAAATGTCTGTTACAACCGGGGAAAACACTTGCGTGAGAAAGACCCATTAACCAATCACATCGCGCACAATTACATCTGAATTAACCAATCAGAATGCTACCCTACCCGACGCCCTCTTGGAGTCATTAAAATATGAATAAAGAGTAATGCAAAGTATGAAAATGAAACTCTGGATTGAGATGAGAGCAAGAGTTAGCCGCTGAGAACATGATTTTGACAATTTAGACTACTCGCAATGTTAGCCCATTTCACTCCACGTGTCATTCCCTTGAGTAATATTTCTTTGGTTTAAGGTCGAACATGAGAAGACACATGAATATGTACGGTTACGATACTCAAACAAAGAATCATGACACGTGGTCGGAAATGGAAAATCATCCCACCCAGGGTAAAAAGCCTGAAATAGGTCTTTTAGCGTCTAACTCCCCCCCTTCTACCCCTACAGTTTGGTAAATCAGGTAGGAACGTGCGGACTGGGAGTTTTATCCTTGACTTTTGACCAAACGTAAGATGTCTATTTTTAAGTAAAAGAAAGAAAACTTAATACTGACCTTATTGTAGTCAATTGACGAATCCAGTCCCACATCATAGGGCGTGACAGACGAGACAAGTTCCTCTCCTATCATTGGTAATCCTTTTTCTATACGTATGTTATTAAGAGCATACCAGCCCATGTTACGTATGCCATACTCCTTCCCTGTAGACATTAGATGGCTGTACAGGGTCTCCACTTGCTGCAAAGACAATATAAGAACAAACATCTAGATTATCATCCATCATAATTGGCATCATCATCATCGCATCGTCTTCACCATCGTCAACATCATCATTACATCATTATAAACACCATCATCATCATGATCGTAATCATCACCATCATCACCATCACCATCATCATCTCATCACCATCATCATCACCATCATCATAATCATCACCATCATCATCACCATCATCGTCGTCATCGTCATCATAATCATCACCATCATCATCACCATCTTCATCGCCATCACCATGGCCATCTTCGTCGTCTTATTCATCGTCATCAAAGGATTATAAAGTGACTTGTAACGCTTGCTGCACGCCAATAAATTAATATTTGCAGTGAATACAGAGTCGCAATAGGGGTTACAATAAATACTAAATAATACAATAAAACGGAAAAAATGCAGATCTATCTCATTCCTTTACTTACGTCATTGGCGACAAACAGTTGCCATCCTGAGCCTGAACCATAAACATCTGACGTATGCAGAACAATGACGTCAGAAGCATAGTCAAGGTCCAATACCTGCACGAGAAATGAGAAGACAATACGAGAGAAATCAAATTTTGGTAAAAAATATTATCGTCTATTATTGAATTATCTCCATCATCATTGTTATTATTGGGAAAGCCATTCTCGATAATAATTCAGTCGTTTTACCTGCGACGAATCTAGAGGAAAGTCATCACCTTCCAACAAAGAGAGCGTCAGCTGCTGTAAAACCTCACGAGAGTTTGGCCCCAAAATTCCAAGAATGGAGCAATTTGATTGGATATCTGTAATCGTGACGTCACTATTTGGGGCCTTGTTGCGTGAGATCCAGCTCTCAGTGCGCGTTGTTAGGGTGGGCTTGGTAACAATTGAAAACCTAAATGAAAAGTATATATTCAATAAAGATTTCATTATCCTTTCATCCCTCTTCCAGGTGTCCGGTGCTCACACACCGACCAATCACAGCGCGATTCGATGTTTTGACAAATATAAAAACACGCGTTTTCAAAAATTTAGAGAAAATAATTTGACTTATGGAATCAGTCTATTATAGTTTGTGATGATATAATTAATCTGCAATAGGACTACATGCTGTCCAATTTGTAAATAATTGAATTCAAAAACTAATTCCTCTGACCGCCAAATTGGAATTGGAATATTGGCCTCTTCCAATGTTGTCAGTCCTTGGAATCTTTTTCATCCAATTATTTTCAAATTGGACAGCATGTAGTCCTATTACCTATACTAATAAGCGCTTGATAACGCTAATGGCACTATAATGAATGAGTTTTATATTTTTATTCCAATGGCGAACCTTTTCGATGGTCAATTTTCACAGGCTTGTTGCAGTGACGTCATTTCTACGTCACTATTTCAGATTAGCTGTAAGCCATGCAGAATCAACTAATCTGAGTAAAATTATCGTGTTGATGCCTTTGTACCTGTTTTTAGCTCTTCTGATGACAGTACACTGTACCTCGTACCCTCCAATCTCGTTCAACATGGACGTGTGTATAGCACGTCCAATAGGTATGTCCATATTATTGACACACAAAGACTGTAGAAGTTCGAGACTTTCAGATGTATTTTGCGACTGAAAGAAAAACAATATTAAATGTGGTGTTCAATCTTCCTTGCAATATTTCTGGCAATTTTATACAAGGATAAACTCGAAATAATTTTCTTCTAGCTATAAACCCCTTGCAGCGCAATGCAGAAGAAATACCACTAGGCTTCCAATTCTCTCGAGATTGAAATTCTTTTGTCTTGTCCTCTAAATTAAGCTGCTTTGACGTCACATGCAAGGGGTCTACAACCGTCGTGACATATTCAACAAAATCAGACCATGTCTTTTCAAATGGACTTTTAATCTGAAAAGATACGAGTTCCCTGCATTAGGAAACTAAAATACATAGTTTTACCTCTAATTCAAACAAGCCAGAGCAGGTCAAGTCTACCACAGCAACAGTATCCCGACATGCTTTACACTCGTCCTCCACGTTTTTAAACCAATGGGGTTTACCGAATGTACCTTGATTGGTACGATAATCTGTTAAGAAAACAATGTATAGTATGCAGTATATAAATAAATATATTCTATATATACTGGCAAAACCTGTTACTCGGGCTTTCGAAGAAATGCTCGAGGTATAAATTGGGCTTCGTTTTTTTTTTTCTTCAGTCACAAATCGCCCTCGAAGCCCTAAGGCACATGCGTCAAATCAAAGTCTATGCGTATGCGTAGAATCAGCCATGAGCACATGCTTGAGTAATGGCGGATATGGGGAAAGACTCGTCGCTGTTTCAAGTAATGAATAATATAAAGTCTAACACCCTCAACATTTTTAGCTTGATTTTGCACAGACTTTGCACCATCTAAAAAGGGTGACAATGTTCACGAAGAATTCTTTCGATTTTCTGCTATGAAGCCCGAGTTCACGCAGATATGCGTCTAGTTCTTACTAGCGATGCTCGTCGACGCACGAATAAGTACAAGTGCAAGTGCAAGCCAAAGCAAGAAAAACAAAATGTTTTGTTCTCTCACGTCGCTTCTTTTCCTCGTGAGAACATGGAGTTGCGACATGCGTCGCTAGAGAGAACCAGGCTTTAATCAGACTGACGATTTTTTGTGGATAACACTGTGTACCAGAAACAGACCACCTCCACCCTCCCCTTACAACCAGCACTAATCCACTACTCCGTGGTGGAATAGACAATTCCACTTATGCCAAGATTTGACTAAACTGTTTGCCTGCTCCATCACCCTCTTCCTATGAACTCTTGCGTGACTCAATTGGACAACTACATTTACTGGAAACATTTCATATCATCACGCAATGAGGCTTTACACCGTCACGTGATGGCAGCCATGACAGGAGGCAGGAACAATTGAATCTGGTCTAATCTGATTCACATGAGAAATAATTCAGTTTCCCAAAGGAGAACAACTCTATTGTTATGCCCCCTGTCATGGCTGACGTGATGGTGCAAAGCCTCTATAAATCTTCTTAGCTTCGTATGCAAATTTCAGATCACATGACATTCCCTTGAGAATTGTTCTTTTATGACGAACTCGTTAAAATATTTACACATGAAAGAATCAACTCCCAAAAGTGGCACTGCATGGTATGAAATGGGCACAACAAACAACGAAGGTAAAGAGGTCTATAGAGCTGGTGCATGTTACGTCATAGCCGCCATCTTGGTTGACGTTAACCAAGCATTCCTCATTAGCTTCTCTTGCTAGATCAACCAAGATGGCGGCTGTTTCATTCTTATTCATATCTCAAGGGATTTTGAGTCTCATGGTTGCACACAGTTATTTGAATGTTTACTTACCGTCAGAAGAAAGGGCAAACCAATTAGGTGTCTCCCAGCCCATCCTTTCGCCCCAAGAAGCTCCAGCTTTATCCAATGTCGTATACAGCACTGAGCATTTGACCTTTCTACTAAATGTTACTTCTTTTCGTGGGTATGGCAAAGCATAAGCCAGTCCAACTGTGCCTTGGACTCTGTCACGCAAGTATCGCTTGTT